CAATGTTAAAAAAAAAAAAAACACAAAGAAAAACGCCGTAAAAACTTGACAAAAATTAAAATAAAAAACAATAAAACTGTAGATCTTAACAGATTTATGTTCTTATTGCACGATTTGGACCGACTTACTACGATTTAGTAAAACGGTTTTGTAAAATCGGGACGATCTTGCTATTTTGATCTTTCTCAAGGCTCGAAATAAATTTTCAGTTGTTTTTTCAATTTTGGAACGTTCAACGGAGAATAATAGCCTATAGAAACAAAGAATTTGGCTTGATTATCGGCGAATCTGTTGAAGAAAATTGATTTAGGTTCGGTTTGAGTCGGAGAGAAAAGAGTAGAGATGCACCGACATAAAATAGAAAGAAATGGCGAGATTGACGTCAATACTAGGGTTTGCCTGCTATTTAAACCTGAAGAAGTGCTTACTGCCTTTTAAAGTTCGATAATCTATATATGTGGGTTGGGTTGCGTACATATATTAATTTGGAGTTGACAAATCGAGAGCTTATATAGGTTGGACTCGATTAATTTGGGGCTCACAAAAACTTTGCAATTTGGGCTTACAATTTCGAAAATAGCTAGCTAACATGGGTTGACTTAGAATGATTCTTTTTTTTTTTTTTGCTTAAAATGTCGGCCCAATTATATTGATACATATAAATGTTGTTCCAATAATTATAATGGGCCTATTTAAAAAAAAAAAAATGCCCGTATTAATTTGGGTAAAAGTAAACACAACATTTCTTTTTATCTATTATTGTATATATAGGTATTATTTGTAAAATTTGTTATTATTCTTCCAATTGTTATTTGGTTATAATTTCAAATTGGATTATTTAGACAACTAAAATCATAATATCTTTAAGTTTAACACATATCATAGTGACATAATACCGATTTGTAAATTGTAGTGCACAAATTAACTTTATTAATTTAATTATTGTAGGTATGTCGTCTGATTTGACATCGGTATCTCCATCGTGCCAAACACCAACAGTGATTATAAATCTAGATTTTGCCTAGAGTCGCAATGCGGAGATGTTTGAAAATAATAGTTTGTGGTGATGGAGGTTGTAAGGATAGAAAAATTATGAACGTTGTATATAAAGAAGTGTTTAATAATATTTTGATGTTCTTTCTTTTTTTTTTTTTCAATAATTATGTTACGATATTTACAGTTGTTTTTTCTTTTATTTTTTTCTCTATCATATGGCTTTCCGTGCAAATGCACGGGTAACAACTAGTGAGGTTAATTTGCCTAATTCATTAATATAGAAAAATGAAGTTTTTTATTTTACAAAATGGTGTGTATATATAAAAATTTATTTGGATTTCCCAAAACTGAAATTTTAAATATTATGTTATTATAACTAGTACAGTATCGGTGCGATGCACGAGATCATTATTACCTACTTTATTATTAGAATGTAATTTTGTATTTAAATTATCTCATAATACTAAACATATCAAGAAAATAAAAAAAATTATATAATATTGAACACTTTCTTATGTACAATATGCTTAGTTTAATTTTTTGGAACGTAAAATATTATATGAGTGTTTACATTTTATCTAATATCATATATTATTAGTCATTAATTAACAAATTACATTTTAAAAAAAAAGAGATCTCATTTATTAATCAAAATTCTAGTGGAAAGGAAGTGGAGATTTTTAGGGTTTTCCCACACTATTTTTTTATTAATTATAATTCAATTTTTGATTAAATAAAATTGAAAAGAATCATTAACTTTTTCCTAAAATGAAACAAATTTTCGTAACCAATACACCGATTTTTTTACCAAACTATCCGAATGTTTGGTTAAAACAAAGTGAAAAAAAATCATCACTTTTTTCTGAAATGCAATCGAATTTTCCTAACATGGCAGCGATTTTTTTTACTAAACAAATTGAACTAAAATTAATCTATACTAATATTTGGTCGGAATATTTTGTTAGGATTTATGCAACTGTTTCTTTCCTAAAAATTGATATGAACTTAACAAAAAAAAAAATGATATGTACTTACCAAAATCTTGGTAAACGTGGTTAAGTAAAACATAAGAATCCAAAAGACATCGGAGCATTCATAAATTTTACAAAGTTGCACATGATTTGATCTGAATTTATTTCCTAAATAATTGGATAAGATTTGATTTTAAATGTCAAAGAACCGGTTTTGTTACCAAAAAGTGAATACGATTTTGAATGTATATCCCGTCCAAATTTCAATTTTGTTTTAAAACAAAAATTGCACGTGCTTTTATCATCTGCACACATTTTTTTTTAAAAAAAATTAGAAGAATATGTTAAGAATTATACAATTATTTATTTCCTAAATTTGTATCCAATTTGTAAGGTTTTTAAATAAATTTGTATTTGGATTTTTTTTTCATGAATCTCCAAACTTGTTACCAAAAAATATGATTTAGATTTTGGTAAAAAAAATAAAAAATGATACGAAAAAATATGATTCATATTTTGTCATAAGAATCTCTAAATTTTTTACAAAAAATGGGATTTAGATTTTGTTACTAAAGGTCTAAATGAGTTTTCTCTAAATTTCTACTAATAGTAAGTCAACTCATTTATTTGTTTGGTCAAAGTTACTAAAAAGGATTTTACCAACAACCTTTTTATATTAGTATAGATTTCAAATGCATTTGATAGTATGCTCTTAGCTACTCCTAATACACTTTTTAATAAGTACAATACAATCATCCTAAAATAAAACATTATGAAAAAACAATATAAATAATAATATAATATTTCATGTTAATTATATATTTATTTAAAAAAATAACGAATCGATTTGTCTAATAATCTGATTGAATTTGTATTTAATATTTAAAAAACACATATCCTTCAATTTTTTTTATTTTTAATTCTGTCTGAGCGAGCTGCAAACTCAACTGTAACATGGTTTTGCAGCCCTCTCTCCCCAAAATGATGTGTTTCCAATTTGGAAAATTACAATCAAGTTCTTTACCACTTTGTTAAAGTACAATCAGGTTCTTTTAGTAACTAAATTCTGCTAATAATTTTATGTGTTAAATTGAATATTTCTGTATTTTTTATTGATATATTATTGTTTTCGTTAGAAGAAGAAAGAAATTAAAAATCACATTATTATTAAAAAAACTACAAATTTAACACTTAAAAAAAGACATTAAAATTATTAAATTAGTCATAAGATTGAAAGATAACATAGAATTACTGGTAATAAAAAATACATCACAAAATATGAAAAATAACACATAAACACACACACAAAAAAAAAAAAAAAATACATCATAAGTTGCGAAACTAAACAATAATATATTTAGTATTCTGGCAAATTGGCACCATTTCCTCTTAAATTATTGAAAAACCGCCCACATGTGTCGGTTGAAAATGAATCAGATTGGGCTTGTTGGGTTATTTTCTCCAAAATCCTTGCCTTTTCACCTTCAATATACGCTATCTTTTATGGAACTGACATCTTGAAATCGAATTTTATTCTCTTCCCTCATTTCTTTTAAAGTGTGGGATTTGTTTTGAATATCCATTTGGTGTTTCATATGTTTGTTTGACTTTTGCAGCTCCTCAAGAAGTTTATTATTTCTTTCTTGCATAATATCTTCATTTGAAACACCCCTATAATGCATATCTTCTACTGCTTTTATGCATTCATGAAGTTACTTGGTTGCTTTATCGACTGTTTGCATTCATGCTTGCATATATCTCTTGGAATGAACCTTCCAATGCTCAAGCTTCCTTCGTTCAAAGCTTCTTCTATACGGGACAAAAATCGATTAGATGATTGGTATACTTCAACAATTGGGTCAAGGAAAATTTTTATACAAACCTGACGTAAAAGAATATATTCATTGTGGTTATAGAAACATGAACGAATTGACATTCTTACAATAAGTTAGACGTGATAAAGGTTTAGTGTATAGAAGAAATTGTAGGGTTGTAGCTATTACAATACCATGTATTCTTTAATAGTGAAAGACTCTATCTTGTTTCTCTGTTTTGACCTGAAATGACTGATATTTGCAAAGGTTCTCGCACTTCTCAATGTTCTGACACGAAAATAACCACTACATGCAATGATTCTCACACTTCTCTATGTTCTGACCAGAAAATAACCACTCTCTGCAAAAGTTCTCACACTTCTCCATGTTTTGACCCCAAATGACCAATCTCTTTGTTCTCACACTTCTTTTGAGTTTGATAATGTGTTTCCAAGAATATTTTAAGCATATTCTTTTGAGTTCGATAACGAGTTTCCTTTTTTCGGTTGAAGATGAATTACTGTTTGATGTGAATCATGTGAAAGTTACTGCAAAAAAGGTTTGAAAATGAGTTTTTCTGTTGAATATTGCCTAAATATATGTGAATATATAATCACATTAGATATAGCTAAATTACATAATAAAAATAACTAGATACAAATATATTAAATATAAACAATTGAAATACAAATTAACATTAAATATTCCACTACAAGAAAACACTTCAATTCCAACGAAAAATTCCAACGACAAAATTTTTATTGAAAATTCCAATGATTTTATTCCAACAAACTTAATTTTATGTTGGAATAAGTGTTGGACGGTTGAGGAATTCCAACGGATTTTTTCCGTTGGAATAGCTGTAGGAATTTATTTTCATAAGATTTTCCGTTGGATTTTAGCTATTCCAACAGCTATTTTTCCCACGAATTTTTATACGTACTGTGAAGAGTATCCGTTGGAATAGCTATTCCAACGGAAACTATAAAGATTTCCAACGGAAAATTTCCGTTGGAATGTAAGAATTTTTTTTTATAGTGTAATACATATTTATTAAATTATATTATTTTTAGTCATTGATGCACAAAATATTTCTGATGCTTGAAAATGTTACTTTATATGAAAATTTTGATATAATTTCTTTAATGTTCATCAGGATTAATATTACATTATAGTACTAAATTAGAAAAAACTAATTGATTTCTATAAATAAAATGGACACAATGCAATATAAATCATGCAGACCGAGGCTAAAATTCGACATCGTGTGGGGGTCTATAATTGTTCAAGATTGTAAGTAAACAACTTATATAATCTATCAAAAAGATCATCATTCTTTTTTAAGGTTGCTACCAAAGCATTGAATGTATATATTCATGAGTAGATAGTTAGATACATTGTCACCTCTTTATTTCATAACTATTAATCATACAAACATTTTGACATAAAGAGCTCCCAATGAATAGTCACATATCTTTAACAATTTCTCATGATTCACTATTTTGTTAAGACTTTAAAAGAAAAATTTCAACCAACCTTTATATTCATACGATCACTAGTGTTGTTAAATTAAACGAGTTTGGCTCAACTCGGCTCGAGTTTGGCTCGTTAAGGCCTCGAGAGGTCCATGTTCAGCTCGAGTTCGAGGCTTAACGAGCCGAGCTCGAGCTCATTTCAAGTTTGTTTGGTTAACGAGCCGAGCTCGACTCAGATCGTTAACACTTGAAAATATTTTTTTTTATAATTCGACTCGTTAAAACTCGAGATCGACTCGAACTCGATCATGATTTTTGGCTTGTTTACGGAGCTACCCATGACCAATACAATTCAAATTTTATCTAAAATATCATTATGTGTTTTTATAATATCTCATCATCTCATCCAATGAAGTACTAAAATGAATCTTATTATACCGATAAATATTGGCAAAATTATGCAATAATGTATGTAAATTCATATCGTGTTACATGAACATGAAGATCGAAATTAAATCATAGGGGGACAACACAAATAAACATGTTTCCCATGTTTGGTGTGCAAATTGAGAGGACGACAGTTGTAAACGTGGCTTACCTGTTTTCAAGCTAAGGATTTTTCAGCCCCTTTTTGAATAGATGACTGAATATTAATTAGGCAACGAATACAATCCCGTTGACGGAAATGATATTTTGTCAGTGTTTGTAATCGTAGATTATTTATACAACATAAGTTATATATGTAGTCAATAGTGAAAAACATTGACTGAACCATCCTACAACATGAACTTAGCAATTTTCAATTAATGTCAACACCATTTTGGAATAATTATTGCAATTTTCAAATAGTAATAATAATATATGTGTCACGCTCAAAGCTTGGTTTGATACGAATTCTCACCATATAAGATTTAATTAATGCATGTTGAAGGCTTAATTAGTTGATCATATTTTTATATATTTATTCAATCACTAATAAAATACAACTAAATCTAATCTTTAGTTCATGTTCATTCTAATACTAGTACAACACACGTGTATTACACGGGTGTTTGTTAAAAAATTATTCTTAGGTTTTAAAATTAATCAGAAAAATTATTGTAAATTTTATATATTTTTTTACAAAAAAATGTATATTATTATATATTTTATAATGACACTTGTTACTCGTGTGATTTACATGTGCATATTATAATAATTTTTTTATAACTTATATCATATAACTACTTGAAATAAAAATATATTAATTGGTAAACAATTTTATTTTTCTAATTAATATTAAAAACAATTTTACTATTGTTATAAAGATAAATATTTATTTATTTATACAATTGAAACTCATCAAGAGATGATTAATTTGATATATTATATATGTAAAACAGATAAAAAATATAAAAGCTACTAACTTTTAAAATACATTTACAATTCAATGGTTATAATAAAAAATTATATTAAAATGCAATTAATACATGTAACATGACCATAAATAATCAACATATTTATGAATAATCCGAACCTAATTATTTTTGGATTTGAAGTAAATTATGATCTACCCAAACCTCACAATGAAATATGTAATTTTGTCACATAGGACCCCGAAATATGCGAGCCTGTCAGTTAGACTCATAACGTTCTAATTAATATTTAGGGTAGGAGATTTTTATAAATTTTATTTTAGTCACAAAACATGCCACAAAGCTTCATTTGTTTGACCAAAAGTCAAAAAGAACAATAGTAGTTACTAAATTTTAATCCTATATTAGAGTTCATTTTCTTGTCTTTGCTACATTTTTCTCCAATCACTCGTTTTGTTCAAAGTATATAACTTTACCCTAAAAAAAACCCAAAAACATCCGAAAAAGAGCAACCGTCAAACAAAAAACGCGCTTGTTCTCACCACCAAAATCCAGCCGTTGGATCTAAAACGGGAAAGGGGACACAATCCAGTACTTCGCACCCACCGCGTAGACCGGTCTCCGCCGCAATCGACGGCCGGTATCCAATCCGCCCATCAATCCACGGCTCAGATTCGAAATCAGCAAATCACAAAGCCAACACGTTGAAATCCACCCTAGATCCCTTCACACTCCAAACTTCCTTTTTATTCATTCGCCAGCCGACTCCACAAAGACTCTTTTTTTTTTTTGTTCTCTCTCTCTAGAGACCTGTGCCGGTAACTTCACCGACCAGCCGCCGCCCTAACCTCTAGCCGGAGACCGGAGAAAGCAGACTCACGCGAGGGGTGATCCCGGCGAAATGAACGGTGGAGATTTGAATCAGCAGCAACAGATGCAGCAGCAGCAGCAGCAGTGGGCGGCGATGCAGCAGTACCAGCAGCAGTGGATGGCGGTGCAGTACCCGGCCATGGCGATGCAGCACCACATGATGTACAATCAGCATTACGTGCCGTACTACCACCCGCAGCAGCAGCTGCAGCCGCAGTATCAGCCGGCGCCGAAGCAGAGCAGCAGCGGCGGCGGCGGCGGCCATCAGATTCAGAGCTCCGGTGAAGATAACAGGACGATCTGGATCGGGGATCTCCAGCAGTGGATGGATGAGGTTTATCTCCATTCGTGCTTTTCTCAATCTGGAGAGGTAACGCGGATTTTTTTTTTTTATTTTCTTAAAAAAATCTTTGATTTACAGCTTGTTTTTAATTTTTTTTGGAGATTTGATGTGCGTTAGGCGTTTTGGAGTTACTTATAGTTTTGTGAGTTGCTGTTTGTTGTGCCTTTAGAATTTGTTGAGCTCGTTTGGTTTGTTTGTTTGTTTGTTTGAATTGAGGTGTTACCATGAAAGCAATGAGTTCTCAGTATGTGATGATGCAAAAAAGAAAAGAACTAAACTTTAGAACAGAATTGGCATGTTCAAATCTTTGTTCTGTTTTCTTGAATGGGTTATACAGGGCTTGCGGGACAGGATCACAGAGTAGTAGACTGGAAAGGCTAAAAGCTACAGAAAAAAAAAATTGTTTGCAATTACTATATAAAGTTTACCAAATTGGCAAATTGTCTAATAAGTGACACAGCACACATGTCGATGGCTTTAATGCTCAGACATCATTCCCAGTTACTGTGCAGCGTATAAGAATGTTCCTAGGTACCCCCCCTAGGCTAAACCTAAGAGGTCCCTAGGTTGTAAGGAGTTGAATTTTGTTACTGCTCTCAAAAAATTCATTCGTCCAAAGCAACCATAATTGTGCAGCATATTAAGGGTGTTCCTCGTTATGTTAAATTTCAACAGTGTCAATTATTGTATAAGCAGTCATACTCATTGGTAATTATTTTGTCCAGTTTGAAAAATTACATTCTCTCTATCCAAGAAAGATGAGCTACATTTCTATTTAAGGTGTCCCTTAAATATTGTCCTCCCTCTTGCCATATTTAGTATGTAAAAGAATTTCACTTTTCTTATGTACCCCTGGGCATCCTACCCAATTGCACCTCTTGGAAATGAAGCATTTCGGTGTATAATGTGCGAGCTCCAAACAATTTGTGCTCGTAGGACATTTGATTTATGAAATGTTTTCGACTAGAATTGTCTCTGTTAGCGTACTGCAAATGGTAATTTTGTCCCCACAATTTTAACATCTTTGTATCCATTGAACAAGCAGGTTATCTCGGTCAAGATAATCCGCAACAAACAAACGGGTCAATCCGAGAGGTACGGCTTTGTGGAGCTCGGCTCTCATGCAGCTGCTGAGAAGGTCCTCCAGAGCTACAACGGCACCCCAATGCCCAATGCCGATCAGCCCTTCCGCCTCAACTGGGCCACCTTCAGTTCCGGCGAGAGGCGGCCCGATGTGGGCTCGGACCTCTCGATATTTGTTGGTGATCTGGCTATTGAAGTGACCGATGCCCTGCTGCTCGAGACGTTCTCCAGCAAGTACCCTTCCGTGAAAGGAGCCAAGGTCGTGATTGATGCCACAAGCGGCCGCTCGAAAGGATATGGCTTTGTGAGGTTCGGAGATGAAAACGAGAGGTCCCGAGCCATTAGTGAGATGAACGGGGCTTACTGCTCGTCCCGGCCGATGAGAGTCGGGGTTGCCACTCCCAAGAAACCCATGCCTCCAGCCCAACAGCAATATCCTTCGCAAGGTGTGGGAAAAAGTTTGGATGATTGGATAAAGTTTTTGGCCTAATTGCACCTTTTACGTAATTTGCGAAATCAACAACAATTTTTTTTTTTTT